CGGTCATATCATTATTCGGGCACTCTTTAACCGTGGTACAATATATTTCCCAAATCTTGTGCAATGGCTCATTGGGTTCTTGCTTGAACGTAAAAATCTCATCCCGAAGTGTCGCCATATGTCCTGGAGAGAAGAATTTAGCAATGAATTTTTCTGCCAACTCATCCCATGTACGGATAGAATGATTGTGCAATCTCTCTAACCAGTCCAATGCCTTTCCCTATAGAGAAAAGGGAAATAGCCTCAACCACAGTGCATCCTCGCAGGCATTTGTTTGCTTGCTCCCCCAACAAGTATCGACAATCCCTTTGAGATGATTGTAAGCATTTTGACCCGGAGCCCCAGTTAAGAATCCCCGTTGCTCAAGTAGTGTAAGCATCACATTAGTAATTTGGAAGTTTCCCATCCTAATGCGGGGCAGGACTATAGCACTTGCATAACCCTCATTCGGCAACTGTCGGTGTGCTGCCGTTCTAGGATGAGGTGGGGGAGGAGCGGGAACGTTGTCTTGAGGCGGGAGGCCTTGTCTATTTTCTTGAGGTTCAAGAGGAACATCATCAACTTGGCCATCATCCACGTCCCCCTTATTGGCAAATTCCCAATGGGCTCGTTGTTGAGAGCCATTTTTGTAGCTAAAATCAATTCTAAAACAAAGTTAGTGACTCAAAAGTAAAAGGAGACAAATCACACAAAAACCTAGATATGTAGATAAATCCGTTTAACTCCCCAGCAATGGCGCCAAAAATTAGTGTCGCCCAAACTCACACCACAAATATAGGTTGTGAGGCGGTCGAAATAATAACAAAAGCCCAATGCAAGTCTGGATCGAATCTACGTAGAGTTAGATATGGGATTAGGTATATGTCTAGACTAGGTGTATGATATCCCCAAGGTTGCACTTCCACATATTTGGTTGTTTCTTTTTAGTTCTAGATTATGCTAATATTTGCAAATGAAAAGCTAAGAGACAATATTTTTGGTTTTGTTATTTTTCAAGTTGATAAAAGGTCTAGGGTCATGACTTCCACCTAGGTGGTTACCTAATGGGTTGTAAACACCTAGGTGGTTACCTAATGGGTTGTAAAGTCTAGGGTGAGTTTGATTGTTCGGGGTTGTAACATAGCAATCACACTCGATTACTCACTCTATACCTCTCGGTAGTTTAAGTGATTCTGCCCAAATTGGTTTTCTCAAGTTAAAATGGTTATTGCACAAAACAAGTGATAAATGCTCAAGTCGGGTCTTACTATTTCTAAATTCAACCCTTTAATTGGGGTATCAATTTCTTTAGTTCACTTAAATTTCTTGTTAGCCAAGTTTTTCCTAGACTTAATCTCTCTTTCTCAAGTAGAGACTAAGTCAATTAGGCATGAATCAATATTTGCAACCATTAATTCTTGAATTCAAGCAAGAACTAGGCTAAATATCATTAACCCAATCACAAACAAGCCCTAAATAAAACACTCATTAAGTACCCATACTAGGTTGGGTCACAACCCTAGCTAGAAATTTAGCTACTCATGGAAAATGCAGAAATTAAAGAAGAAATTAAGATAGAATCCATAATAGATGATTAAGGGAATAAAATCCAATGTTAAAATGTTAAACTAATAAAATGTTACCCAATTTAGTAAAGAAAAATGGTTCATGTGCTCTCCCAAAACAAAACTTGACCTAAAAATGACAAAAAGTTCGATTTATACTAAGCTGAAAATATCTGACAAAATTGCCCCTGCAGAGATTGTGCGGCCACACAATTATGTGTGTGGTCTGCACAATGATACTTAGCTTCACAGGTTCCAGTTTTACGGCCGCACAATTCTGGGTTGCAGCCGCACTCCTTCAAATTCTGCGGACTGCACATTTATGAGCGCGACCGCACTTTGCTTCTATAGCCGCACAATTATAGTGCAGTCTGCACTCCTTGACTATGGGCTTTGGCATTGTAGGACTTCTGCGAACCGCACAATTCTGAGTGCGGTCGCGGTCCTGATTATGTAGCCGTACGAAAATGGTACGGTCCGCATTTCTTCTTGGCCTTAAAATCCCATCTCTCTGATCTTTATCTTCTGCGGCCACACTAAAATTGTGCGGTCCGCACTTTGCATAACATTCTTTGTCAGAGGTTTTCTTCATGATCTGCGGCCGCACTCACTATTGTGCGATCGACACAGTGCCCTTCTAGTCTTGTCTTTGTCTTTATCCAAAATTACTCCTTCTTGAGTTGATTTTCATCTCTTTAGCTCATATTCTAACACTCGTGCAAGCAAGCACATTTTGTTAGTTTTCGGGAATATCTTTAAGCAATTTTGATCTAAAACGAAAGTAAAAGAGAGCAAATAAGTAGTCAAAATCCCTACTTATCATGTGATAATAGTTTTATTCCCTAAAACTATTGCATCTCATGTATGTGTTATGTCTGCTTTACTTCTTGTAGGTAACTGTACTCTATTTGTTCTATGATCTACTTTTCTAAGATTATCTAAAGTATCCTTGCAATGAAGCACATGGTGAGTTGCACCTGAGCTTACTATCCAAACATAATCATTAGCAGCTGCATTTGTCATTAAAGTGATAATACCTGCAGTATTTGTGGAATAGTCACTTGTGGTAGTCTTCTGTAACAAATTCACCAGTTCTTTGTATTGATCCTCAGTAAAGAAATTTTCTTGTGTTGGCAGCATAGGTGTCTTATTCTCCTTACTAGTTGCATTGTTCACATAGGTCCTGCCTCATGTGTTTTGACCGTTTTTCCTACTTTTGAAATATGGTGGATACCCTACTAGCTTGTAACAATTTTTCTTGAGGTTTCCTTTATAACCATAATAATCACAGACTAATCCTGGCCTTTTAGGACTGAACTCATGACCTTTTCCTGCCAACATTATGAGTGGATTAGTCCTTTGGCTTTCTTCTTGTGTGATTATTGAATAAGCTTCATTCACGATGATCACAAGTTTTTTAGCCAAAACTTTATTTAAAATATTACTATTGCTTTCGTTCAATCTCATGAGAAACTGCAATAGACGAATGTTCCTCAAGGGCTTTACAGAGGGCCTGGACTCCTCACAATCACATGAGGCTAGAGGTGCTATGACATCTAGTTCATCGTATAGGTCCTTCATCTTAGAATAATAACTAGTAATTGAGTCAGTTCCTTGACGCAAGGTCGCAATAGCAGTCCAAAGGTCATAGATTCTTGTCAAATTTGACCTATCAAATCTCTCCTAAAAATCAATCCACACCTTCTTTGCATTTGATGCATATATGATGCTAAGCATTAATTCATTTGAAACAGTGCTACCAATCCATGAGATAAAAATTGCATTATGTTTCTCCCACTGCTTTGCTTACTCGCCTCTATACATGCTTTTTACACAAGATCCATACACAAATCCAAGCTTGCTCTTTTCCCAGAGTGCCAATTTCATCGCCCTGCTCCACAATGCGTAGTTTTATGGACCTATGAGGTTGAGTGGAATTAAGACGAGTGCTGGAGAATCTGAAGCTTGCAAAAATAGCAGATGATTATGATCTAGTGAACCGACTTCGTTATTTGCCATGACTGCTTGAAATTGAAGAATTCTGATAGCATCAAGAACAAGGATATAGTTAAGGACAATGATAGAGATGATAGAGTTTTGGAAGCTCCAAGGCCATTTACAAGATCTCAAGCTAAAGAGTTGCAAGCTAAGGTTGCTAGACTTCAATGGCAAATAAAGAAGCTTTTAATTGTAGAGGAAGAGCTCAAGCCCAAAGGAGATGAATTGTCCAAGTTTTACAATTATTAAGTAGTCCAAATTGAAGGCCAAGAGGAGGAAGATTAGGTTACCAAATCAGCCCTTGAAGTCCACCAATAAGGCTCAAAATGACCTTAAA